CTGGTATTCCCCATTTGAGGGAATGGCCATTCTCTCCCCCAATAGTAGATCATTCCAATTCTGATTCGAAAGGATTTTGATTCTGATAATTTTTGACAAAAAAATGAAGTATGGGAAAAAATTCGGGATCATGTATAAATCTGTTATTAAAATTTTATACTTTTAGCACTTTAGGAGATTAATGTATTTACAATATCATAGAAAATTGATAGCTTTATTTCAATGCACTTACGGTAAGTTTTTCCTAGAAAACGCTTTGCTGAATACTACCTTTTGATAGTTCTATAAATCACTTTTCTAAATCTCAACCAAAGAGTAACAAGTTGATTGAATAAACATGCCTAAGACCATGGGGTGTGAAACCTACTTCCACAGGGAGCTCAGACCGGGTATTGGCAGACTCCTTCACCAAATGTGAACTTGCAAGAGACCTGACCTAGTTTCTTAAAGGACATTTATTAAAGTAATTACATTATGTTTTAAATAAATTCTTGTATCCAATATAATCTACATGTTGGGAAGTTTCTTTTAGTTCACCTGTTCTACATTCATGAATAGGTTTGGAGGTTGGGCGATTGAATTTGGTAATTTATTGACTTTTGCCACTGCTAGAGGTGCTTTTCATATGGTACCTTATGAACAGCCATCAAGAGCCTTGCATCTTTTCAGTTTATTTGTCCATGAAAGGTGATTGCCAAATACAACTCATCCATCCATTGACCGAAAACTACTAAATAATCCAATGGCATGTACCTTGTTTTTTCAAGGGTCTTACTTTTGTAACATCAGTTCTACACTGATTGATAAAGCCGTAGCGTGAAACTTTGTTCATGATTTGAATTCTTTAGTGGAGAAAGACCCAATAAATTGATCAAGGATAAGGATGTTTATACTATCTCTCAGTGATCAATTGCACTACTCAAAGTTTGGACCTGATCTTACATTCTGACACCCATTTATGGAACATCTCTTTTTACAAATAGTGGAGTTATAAATGGAAATATTAGACTGCCCAAGCTGCCATTGCTAATCAGTCAACAAGTTTGACAATCAAATGGAGTTTTTCCAAATGTTCAATGTATTTCAGCTACAACATGGATAAGTAACGTAAGTTCTCTCATTCCACTGTCCCAATTTATGATCATAAACTCCCATGATGCCAGGTTATTGGCTTGAAGTAAAAGTTAACAGACATTGAGTATTCTATTGGCTTGAAGGAAAAGTTATCTAGATTTTCTCTATCCCATCAAAGAAAGAAGAGATCCAATAATATCACACCAGAAAAAAAATATTAAGATACACCACCCAAGGCCAAATTCGTTTTGGACACAATTCACTTCCATTCCATCTACATTCTTAGATCTTTGTATCAAGAAGATATTTATTACAATTTAAAACCAGTATGTTTCCCAATGATACTCTCTTGTAGTAAGAGCTATAAATACTTTTACCTGTTATTGAACATAGATGAGATTAAGCTCAAAGATTATTAATAGACAAGCATAAGACAAATATATGAACACCAAAATATCAAATAGTTATCTACTTTCTGCACGAGCAAAAGGATCCCCATAGAAATGTTTGGTCAGGTGCTAACGGTGAGTTCGAACCACCAGTCTTACCATTAAACATGACATGAGACAAACAAAGGCATGAGATTGCTTTGTATCGTCTATAGCAGTTGCATTTTCTTCGTCCATGTAATCCTAGAAGAGAACAGTTAACGACAGTAAACAACAAATATGAAGAAAGAAGTTTCAAATATGGGGTTACTTGTCAATTCAAATCAATTCATCTTACCATATTTCTAATGTAATGTATTTTATGCAAAAATAGGTCTGAATGTTTTGGCGCATTGTATAGCGTATTCAGTGTGTCATAAGTGATGTGTTAGACAGTTTCAGCTCCCTCTAGATGCTCCGAGGGTTTGTACTTTGAAGGAACATGGGAGGCAATGCTGTATTCCTTGTCTGGAACTGGTAATTGCTAGAATTTATAATCTTGTGGTCTTTTTGTTGGAGGTTATGACAAAATAACCTCTCAATCTATAGAAAAGTAAGTAATTTTGAATCATCAGAGTCAACATATGATAAAGATATACAAGAACAGGAGCGAATTTCTATTTCTTCCGTGTGTAAATCCATGTACGGTATAGTCTTTGCAATATACATGGAGCTTCCATTGCAATGCAATGTGAAGATTAACTTGAGAGATTTCTTGTATTCGAAGTTCAAGGAATTAACTACGGTGCATTCATTGATATTGACTGTATGTTAAATTCAAAACCAATCAATCAACTTGTTTTTTCATTTGTTCATGCTTCACAAAGTGTACATACATGTTTAATTTGATTAGCTGTATTTACCATTATGTTCATCCAATCCAAAAACTAAGATTTTATTATGTTATTTCTTATGGGCAGATAACCTGAAGAAAAGAGCCGTTTGTCATTTGAGTTGTACCTATTCACTGCAATCTGGGTTCTAGATTGCCCCTTTTTGGGGAAGTAAAAGACTGAGTACGTGGTTCAAAACTGTCATATATGGGCCGAATGGGTATAATCAATCAAAGGATAAATGGGGATCATCAAATCCAGACAAAGAAAACAAAATGGGTCACTTGAAAGCTCCTCCAAAAAACGGAGTTAAATCTTCATGGAAACTTTACTCATCAATGCATTGCAAGAGATGATAATGGTAAAATCTTAATGGCCAATTAGGTACCAGAAGAACAAGGATTGAAGCAGACGCCAAAATTGCTATTCAAACTCTGCATTGTGGAGATGCAGCAGATCCCTCCTGTGTGAGTGAGTGCCACCAGATTGTGCAAAATCATCTACCTCAACAGTAAACATCTGGGGAGAAGGCAACCAAGCTGCTGATTGGTTAGCAAAAATTGTCCATGTGGGCTTAGATTCTATCACTGATTCAATTCCTTGGCAACTTTCATGTATTGTATCCCCTCTCTAATGTTTACGAAGAAAATTCCTTCAAAATATTAGCACTTAGGCCATGTTTGGGAGTGCTTAAAAAAGTGGTTATTTGGGTTGGAACCACACTATTAAGCACTTTATTGGTATTTGGAAAATAAGTCCGAAATAAGTGATTATTTTAGAAATAAAGAAGACTTATTTTTTAAGCCCAAATTTTCAGTTTTTTTAAGTGCACTTGTACGATAAGCATTTATTCAATTGTTTCATCCAAAATTATCTCTAGTTAAATTTTAAAATATCGCTTATAAAATTATTCCTAGTTGAGTTGTATAAATGTGCTTTGATAAAAGTATGTTTATAGAAGTATTTCTATAAAAATGCTTTCGTAAAAGTATTTTTATATCTCATAAAATTTAAAAAAAAATAAAGGATAAAATAGTCACAAATGCTTATTTAAGTGCATAATGGAGAAAAAGCCTACTAAAGGTCCAATATAAAAGTACTTTTATATTTCGTAAAATTTGAAACAAAACAAAGGATAAAATCCTCAGTTTTGACCAAATCAATGTTTTTTTTATCAAATCCTCAGTTTTAGCAAAACCAGACCTCTAATTAATTGAGTCAGGTGACGGTTTGAGCAATTTGACTATCCAAATCAACGACAGGTTGGAAGCGGTCTGAATTCAAATTCAAATTAGATTCAGTTAAATGTGACCCGATTTTGATTCATTTGTAATTGGATTGTATATGGATCCACCCATATCTGATCCATAAAATATTTAATTGTATATGATTATGTAACTTAAAACTTATATTTTATATCTATATCTATTAGTAAACTTGGTTTTAATGTTGCGTTTTTCACTAAAACGAAATTGATTCAAGATTTATAAAACTTATTTTCAATATGTTTTGTTTATGATATTAGAATATCAAACTCATTTTTGTTCAATTTATGAATACTATTTTAATATCCGGTTGCAATTGATTAAAATCCAAATATAAATGAAAGAAATTAATGTGGATCGAAACCTTATATCCATTTTGATCCGATCCATTTTGCAACCCCATTTGCCCACCTCAAGTTTGATATACATGTATGTAAAATTAAGTAGGGAGGTCAACAGTTCGGGTCTGAGTTGGGACAGGGTACAACTCAGAACCAAACCAATCGATTCTTGAGACAATCAGGTATGATCCGATGAATCTGAATATAATAAACCTACTAAACATATCATACAATCGAGTCTGAATGGATTCGGAATTAGGTAGAATTGATCCCAAACCAATAATAGTTGGAACAATAAATTAGGAATTGAAACTATTAGACTTGGCAAAAAGTTGATCCAATCCGTGAATCTGACCCAATCCAACTCGAAAAAGCAGAGTTAGGGTCTCATATTTAGCTACCTAAATGTGAGAATGGATTGACCCGACACGACCTAACCCAGAAAACTGGATTGGATTGGGTTGGGTCATGGGTCAACCCGCTGACCCAATTGTCAAGTTTAATTGGGACTATTTATGCATTGTTAGAAGTTTCCACTCTTTAAATTGTTAAATGTTCAAGTTTTTTTTATTTTGTATTTGGAATTTTAAGATTAATTTTTTTAATTTTGACATTTTTCATGTAATTTTTTTTTATTTTTTTAAATTTCAATTATCAATTATTTTTTGGGATGACTCGAAGTGACTCATGGGTCAACCCTAACCCGGGGCATTTAGGGTTAGGGTCTAACATTTAAGAACCCAACCCGAAATTCAATCTGGCCCGAAATCAACCCAAAGGGTTTTTACCCAACCCACACAACCAAATTGCCAGGTCTAGAAACCATCCATTGGTATAACCACATACGACCCAATCGATTTGAATCCATCGGGTCACCCGACCCATTGGCATTTGTAGGATGGATCTTGGAATTACATAAATGGGCTAGTTATAGACCCAGGTGGAAAGCCAATCTGGGTAAAATCCACACGATGCATGATTGTTTGGTCAGGCATCAGTCAATTGGCCGTTGGGTTGGTTGACTATGGTGAAGAAGAAAAAGGATGAATGGGACGGACAGAGCAGAGACAAAAAGAAGGAAGAAGAGAAGGCGATAAGGCGCCACCACAAGAGCGCTACAAACAAGGAGGGCCCTAGGCCAAATGATTCCCGTCCCTTTGCCGATTAACAAAGGCCACCGCTCCTTCTCTCTACACACAAAGCTAAAGCAAGCTTGAGGAAAGAGGAAGGTGGCCTTGCCTTTCCACATGCGCTATCTCTCTCTTTCCCTTCTTTCCTTATTCACCACCACCCATGAGGAAGCTCTGCCCAAATTTCGAACGCGAAGATGCCCTCGAGACCGTCCTCGAGGTCCCCATCCCCGAAGAGATGTTCGCCAGCATGGGCGGCACCGCCGCCGTCCGGTGGCAGAATATGTATAACTGGATGAAGTCCCAATGCGCCGATAAGTTGGATTCGGCGCCCCCTCTTGGTGGTCGTAGTGCCGAGCTCCAGGTCCTTCTCAATGTCGTCGGCTCCCCTCTCATTCCTGTTCAGGTGCAGACCGAAACCACCGTCAGCCGTCCCATCAAAAACTGTTCTATCGTCAGTAACCATTTTCGCCTTGTTAATTTCTTTCTGGGGTTCTGTTTCTTAATTCTCTCGTATTGTAATGTCCTCCATCTCAGTTGGTTGGTTGGTTTATTATATTATATAGGAAGCTTCGACAGCCAAATACATAGTTCAGCAGTACATAGCGGCAACGGGCGGACAAGCAGCATTGAACTCGGTGCACAGCATGTACGCCATCGGACAGGTGAAGATGAGTGCCTCTGAGTTCCATGTGAACAACGATTGCGTGAAGCCAAAGGACGACGTTGAGATTGGTGGCTTCGTCCTCTGGCAAAAGAACCCAGACCTCTGGCTCCTGGAGCTGGTCGTCTCCGGCTGCAAGCTCAGCGCCGGAAGTGACGGCAAGGTCGGCTGGAGGCAATCCGGTGCTCAACAATCCCATGCCACAAAGGGTCCACCCAGACCCTTGCGTCGCTTCTTCCAGGTACGTACAGCGCAAAATTGTCAATTAAATTCTTCTTCTTCTGAAGTTTGTTCCAGCTACACCATGATCGGTGAAGCAAAAATGGTTTCTTAATGGGACGTACTTACGGAGCCTATATGTATATACAGGGACTGGATCCAAGGTCGACGGCCAATTTATTTTCAGACGCCATGTGCATAGGAGAGAAGGTTATCAACAACGAAGACTGCTTCATACTGAAGCTTGATGCCAGTGCAGCAAGCTTGAAGGCCCGAAATACCAACGCCATGGAGATGATCCACCACACAGTGTGGGGCTACTTTAGCCAGAGAACTGGTCTTATGGTGAAATTTGAGGACTCCCACCTAGTGAGGATCAAAGGAAAGAAAGGAGATTCGTGTGTGTTTTGGGAGACAAGCATAGAGTCTGTGATCGATGACTACAGATCAATCGAAGGAATCAACATTGCACACAGCGGCAAGACCTCTGTCACCCTGCTCAGATACGGAGAGGGCTCCGTCAACCACAAGAGGAAGATGGAAGAGAAATGGACCATTGAGGAGGTTGATTTTAACGTTTGGGGTTTAACTATGGATTGCTTTCTACCTCCCTCAGACCTCAAAAAGGAAGGGGATGAATGAAATCAGACAGGAAAGGCTCCATAAAAAAAAGAAAAAGAAAAGAAAAAAAAAAGAAAGAAAGAAAGAAAAAGAAAAAGAAACACAAAACAAAGCAAAAGACGGAAACCTGGTGAAAATCTGTATATATATAACTGAGCTGGAAATTCTTGTTAATTTGCTTTTTTTTTTTTTGGAAAGTTACTGATAATGGTGCTACACCCACAAAATCCACTTTTGTAAAATTGTAATACTTCGGTTATTATGTAGTTATAGTATCCTTTTGTACATCTATACCCTCTGATTATATTTTTAAAGACTATATTGTCATCAACAAATGTAGAAATTAAGATTAGAAATTTGGTTATCTTTTTGACCTACTTTCTTCCTCAATGTAATTGCTTGTAAGGGCATTTTAGTCTATTCTCATCATTCTGTTTGAAACAACACTAATGGGTGGATGTTTAAGGTTGCAGGTAAAGATAAGGGAGATTTTATTGTGCACTTGTAAGAAATTTGAGACTAGGGGATTTATATGTTAAATTTTTCAATAAATCAAAATTTCCACTCCCTTCTTTTCTTTCCTTTTAAGTGTATTTGGTTTAGTAAGAAATAAGAGAGAAATGTAAAGTTTGTTTGCCATAAACATGGCATCCTGAGATCAGTTGACTAATTTCAAACAGCTGGTGATGTACCCAAATTCCATATATGTACTCAATAGTGACATCGAGAATATTTCTGTACTTCTGTTCTTTATTTCATGGGAATATATTCCCAATGCAAGACCATAATAGTTGTTCGAATGGACTTTGCACTGACTGAATCCGATTTCCTCAATAGTATATCAATCAACCCAAAAGAGATCTAAGCCATCAAACTGATAGATTGAATTAATCTTTGACCATCAAAGTAATACATCAAGATTTCAATTGTGGCATGGTAACAATTAATGTGAAAGTAAGATTCAGAAAGGTCTGAACCTTGGATATAACAAATATTGGTTTAAACAAATTAGAAAAAAAAATTACCGAGTAATAAAGCTATAAGCTAGCTGATAATTTGTATGCATTAGATAATAAACAAATACTCTGGCCGTAGCTTATCACCTGTATGATCCCTAAGTTGGACTATGTTTACAAGCTGCACATATGGGTCTAACTAGGGGTGCAAGTGTGCAATATGGGTTGGGTTAACCCGAAACCGACCCAAAAAAATCGAGATAGATTGGATTGGGTTGAAGCCTTGAAGGTTGGGTCAGGTCAGGGTTAAGGTTGGAAAATATTAATCAAACTTAACTTTGGGTTGGGTTAACCTGATCTGACGTATCTTCATATTTTTATATAAATTGAGGGGTGGCTGCCTGGCTCAGTTGGTGTGGTAGCTGGCTTATTCCAGCAGAAACTTTGTGGAATTATCTCTAGGTATAGGGCTTTCTGTTGTTCTGTCCACCCATAAACTAGTACAGTGGGGAAACGAATCAAGATTCAAAGGGAGTAATGAATCATAGATGGAATTGTTGGTAAATAAAACCCAAAAGCCTAATAAAAATCCCTGAACATTTGGCATGCAAATTATATTTTCTGTTTAGGACTTCTAACAAAGTAATACTCTGAGAAAAGAATGATAATAGAGAGAACTATTAATTTTGTGTTCAACGTGGGCTTCATGGTCTTCAAGGCGGCCAGTTATTGCACCGTTCTCCCAGCTAACGAGGGTCGGAACTCCCTTGAGCTTGAACCTTGAGTCAACTCTCCATGGGTGGTTTGGATTCCTCCAAGTGGGTCTGTCTCCAACAAAACCTCTAAGAAGTGCCACATTGGCTGATGAAGCTTCCAGCTTCTTGTATATTACAGGCTCAGCTCTCACACAATCTGCCAAAATTATAGGAAGAGAATATGTAAAATTGCATACAGCAGAGCATAACGATAACTGGGATCTCATATTAATAATTTCAAATAGAAAATAATTGAAGACTATTGTTCAAATAAGTCATGTTCACTGAAATATTACCTCTAAAGAGTGAACCTATTGTACAACTGTAGACAACAGAAATTATGAACTTGTGTTTGTGTGTCTGGAAGGAGGGATTCAGTAGAACTGTTTATCGGCTTCAGGTTCTACACAACAAATATATGGGTTTGGTTTACAAGGGACCATTAGTTTGGCCATAAACATTGTTACTATTAGAATAGTTTCCATCCTGATCACCAACCAAACAGTTCATTTTGTTGTCAAGAAGATTAATTTTACCAAGTGAAAATTAATGACGTGATTAAGATTCTTTTAACTGGCTGCATGGGAGAAAAATTCCACTTTGATTACTGAGGATATTGAAATTAAGATGCTCCTCTAACTCAGGGTTGATATTCAAGGATTCCTACAATTAAGCAACCTCCTCCAGAAAGTGTATCAAAAGGCTACTAATGATAATCTCGCATTCTATCATTAGACTTGCTAGTGTTCCAAAGTGCATGTCATTGACAAAATTGCTTGGCTTAGTAAAGCAAGTACCACTTGATGGTGCACAATCCGGTCACTCCTAGATGGCACTTGCGTGGCTTCTGAAAGGTAACTGAGATGGAGAAGATGAAGAATTCCCGGGGGCTTGCCTCCCAAGCGTCCGCCGCACAGACCCTCATGAGTGTCGTGTAGGACCTCCGGTACAGCCGTTCGTCTATTATGACGTATTTGGCTGCCTGGCGCTCTACCCTTCTGACCACATTGCGATCTGCAGAGAGGGTCCCGTGTAGCAAGAAGCTCGTGAGCGGGTCAATCCAGCTCGACTCTGCTTGAACGACGAGAGCGACCTCCTCTGCCCCCCCGAGAATGCTAGGCCGAGGCAGGTCCTCTATGTACACGGTTCTCATGGTGATATCGCTAGTGCTGACTAACCGGGACAGGGCGTCGGCCTCAGTGTTCCCCGACCTTGAGATTTGCTTGATGAAGTGTGACTGGAAGTTGAGCAGAGCTTCTCTTACTTTGGCTAAGTAAGCAACCATGGTTGGTTCGCGAGCTTCGTAATCTCCTGTGACTTGGTTGACTACGAGCTGGGAATCGCTGTAGATGATGATGTGCTTGGCTTTTACTTCTCTGGCTAAAGCTAGTCCAGCTATCAACGCTTCGAATTCCGCTTCATTGTTGGATGCCGCGAACTCAAAGCGTAGTGCGTACTCCAATTTCGTGCCACTTGGGTTGTGCAGAACTATTCCAGCTCCGCTGCCCTGCTGGTTTGAGGAGCCATCTACGTAAAGGATCCAGGGCTCCTCATCCCAGTTCGCGCTTGGCCTAACTAGGAGAGATGCCACACCGGTTGCTACTTCACGGGGCCCAAACTCAACTAGCTTGGGAGCTCCGGGGTCACCCGAACTGGGGGCCTCGTGCTCAACTGGCCTGGGGACTTCGGAGCTGAAAGTGCATTCGGCAATGAAATCTGCTAAGGCTTGGGTCTTAATAGCAGTTCACAGCTTGTATTGGAGGTCGTACTCGCTGAGCTCAACGACCCACTTCGTCAATCGACTAGAGACCTCAGGCTTAAGTAAGACTTGCCTCAGAGGTTTGTCGTTGAGGACAATAACAGTATGAGCCTGGAAGTACGGACGGAGCTTCCGAGCTGCGATGACCAGTGCGTAGGCTAGCTTCTCTATCTCTGGATATCTCGTCTCTGCTCCCTGCAATACTTTACTAACATAATAGATGGGTCGTTGGACCCGATCTACTTCCTTTATCAGTACCGAGCTGACCACTTCGTCACTTGCCGAGAGGTACAGCTCTAAAATATCGCCCTCTTCGGGCCGGGTTAAGATTGGCACACTAGCGAGGTATTCCTTGAGCTCGTCAAACGCGAGCTGGCAGTTTTGGGTCCATTCGAACCCTTTGCTTTTAATTTCCTTAAAGAAATGTAGACAGCGGTCCGCTGACTTGGACATAAAGCGGCTCAGGGCGACTACGTGGCCGTTCAACCTCTGAACCTCCTTCAACTTCCGGGGTGGTCTCATATCTAAGATGGCCTTAATCTTATCCGGGTTGGCCTCAATGCCGCGCCGGTTAACGATGTATCATAGGAATTTGTCCGAGGTGACACCGAAGACACACTTGTTTGGATTCAACTTCATGTTAAATTGTCGCAGAATTTGAAAGACATAATGCAAGTCTTGTATTAATTCGTGTGAGAACTGAGTTTTGATGACCATGTCGTCTACATAACACTCTATTTTTCTGCCAATTAATGGCTCAAATAATTTATTTACAAGCCTTTGAAAGGTTGCCCCAGCATTTTTCAACCCGAAGGGCATAACCTTGTAACAATATAGACCGAACTCAATGATGAAGGCAATTTTTTCTTCGTCCGCCGGGTCCATCCTGATTTGGTTATAGCCCGAATAGGCATCTAAGAAACTCAACAACTCGTGCCCCGAGGTCGCATCCACCAGGCGGTCGATTTTGGGGAGTGGGAAGCAGTCTTTTGGGCAGGCTCGGTTTAGGTCGGTGTAGTCGATGCACATGCGCCACTTGCCGTTAGCCTTCTTTACCAGAACGGGATTGGCTACCCAGCTCGGGTAATGGACTTCTCTTATGAAGTCGGCTTCGAGGAGCTTCGCAACCTCCTCGTCGACTGCTTTCCATCGCTCCGGGGCTAGGTTGCGTTTCTTCTGTCTAACGGGCCTAACTACAAGATCAGTGTTAAGCTTGTGAGTTATAAGACTAGAGTCTATACCAGGCATCTCTGCTGCGGACCATGCAAAAACATCTAAGTTTTGAAGTAGGAAACTTACTAGTTCGGATCGCAGGGGTTCCTGGACTGAAGCGCCGATCTGAAGTGTCCGAACTGGATCTTCTGCTAAAGTCAGAATGGAAACTGTTTCTTCCGTGGGTGCAGCTTGTTCTTCGCCTTGTTCTGTAGGTCGCTCCAGTTCGAGGTTGTCAGTCACCTTGGTCTTTCCCTTGAGGGCGGCGACATAGCACTTGCGAGACTCAAGCTGGTTGCCTCGTGCTACCCCTACTCCGAAGTCTATAGGGAATTTCATTGCCAAGTGATAAGTGGAGACCACCGCCCGTAGGACATGGGTGATCGGCCGGCCTATTATGGCGTTGTACGGGGAGGGGGTCGCGACCACCAAGAAGTCATGGTTGAGTCTGACTATGCTGGGCCATGTGCCGCCTCCCACAGGTACTATTATTTTCCCGAGGGGGCCTGACTTCTTCTCCGCTGAAGCCCACCAAGGGAGTATTAGCGGGCCTCAAGTCACTTCCCTACAACTGAAGCTGGTCAAACGCGGCTTTGAAAAGAATATCCGCCGAGCTACCCGAGTCAATGAGGACGCGCCTGACCTCGAAATCATTGATTCTTACTTTTATGACAAGCGCGTCGTCGTGGGGGTAGTGGACCCCGCGCGCATCGTCCTCCGTAAAGATCGGTTCCTCTGTCTTCGGCCGCTTCGGGGGATTTTGTTCTTCCCTGGCAGCTTCGCGAACTGACGTCCGAGCTGCCGCCGAGCTGCCGCTGAGGTACAGCCCGCAACAATCGAGCCTCCAACTATCATGTGGATGGTGCCCCGAACTGGCCTCTCTTCCGGAGGCTGCCTCTGTGACTGCTCCGCCGGCCTACTACTGGACTCGAGAGCATCCTTGTCGTGCTCCCCTTGCCGACCTGCCTTATTATTATTATTATTATTATTTTGTACAAAATTCCTTAGATATCCATGACGAATGAGTTCCTGTATCTCGTCGCGATGATTTTTACAGTTCTCGGTACTATGACCGTGGTCTCTGTGAAAACTACAATACAAATTTTTATTTCTTTCATTAGGATTCCCCCTCAAGCGGGGTGGCCACTTCACGTACGGGGCATCCTTGATTGCCATTAGGATTTTGGCCCGCTTCGCGTTCAGTAGGGTGTAATCAGTTCGGTCCGCTACAAGAGCTCAGAACGGCTGACCCGGCTTTGCCCCCCGAGCTACATCTTTCTTCTTCCGGTTGTCCCCTTGGCTGGAAGATTCTCCTTCTCTCTTTCTCTTCTCGGGCGCGCTCTTGCCCTTCTGGTTGATCTCTTCTTCTATGGCTATAAACCTGTCCACAAACTTGAGGAATTCAGTTATGGTCGCCGACTGGTTGACAACCATGTGCCATTTGAATTCTTTGTGCGTCATGCCCTTCTTGGCTGCTACGAGGTGCACTGCGGGATCCAGGCGCAGTATCTGCATGTGCATCATTGAACCGCTTGATATAGCCCCAGATGGACTCTCCTTCTCTCTGGACTATGCTGAGAAGGCTTTCCTCAGTTTACGGGCACCGCTTGCTGGTGACGAACTGGGACGTGAAGGCTTGTGCGAACTGTGCCCAACTTCTTATAGATCTGGGTGCAAGATTCCGATACCACGTGCGGGCCACTCCTCTGAAAGTGGTGGAGAAGGCCACACACATGCAAGACTCACTGGCCCTTCCAGGTGCATCTATGACTGGAAAGCATCTACATGATCATTCGGGTCGAACGACCCGTCATACTTGTCGAGAGGGGGGAGCTTGAAGTCCTTGGGCATTGGAACAGCCAGGAGTTCGGGAGACAGGGGGATGGAACAGAAAGGAGGGGAGCTTTAACTTCACCCGAGCTTACCTCTTCCCTGCCTCTGAGCTCGGGCAGGTTGTGAGTGGTAGTTCGGCGAGCTCAGCGGCGACATCTTTGCTTCTTGGCGGGCTCCGCATTGGTGCTGCTCACTTCCGTACTGTCAAGAATAGTTTGCGCAGGAAGCAGCTCGGGCTGCTGGTGATGGCTGCAGACAGAAGGGTTCTGCTTAGAATCTACAGCAAGGATCTCGAACCGGTTCTCTAGAAGTGGGGTTTCGAACTTTGATTGCTGGGGTGATGTGGACCTGGC